ATAAACACACGCTATAATTCACGGCGATTCACACACTTTACTTATGGTGCTTACTGTTTGCTTGACTCAATTATCTATCTCTATATCTATCCAACTATGCAATTCTATCTTTTCCGATGGCTTTATTTGCCGGGTTTATATACTAAAAAAGAGGGCGCCTGGAACAAACTAGAGTTGCGAGGAAAATTCATAATCCTTCGAGAAACTCCAGCGCGCATGCTCCCAGCGTTGCGTGACTTCCGCTGTTGTAACATTATCTTTTCAAAAGAATTTAGATCAGTCTTGTAACTTATAATGGTAAGGTAAAATTATCATTTTTAGCCGTGACATAGCAGCTCATAGAATGGTTTTGAGTTTTTTTCCAATTTTCCAAGTACAAACTTTTAGATCATAGCTCTGCCATCTCTTGACCGATTTGAGATCTAATTACAGGTTTGGACTCAGGCGGTCAATCCCTTTCGATTGACGTATTTGACCACGCCCAGTGTCTCATAGATTAATTTACTTTAATCCTGTCTAAAATAATTTCAATTTAGGGGTAGGTTGGTAAAGATTCTGATGAGTAATAAAAGACATTAATGATTTATTTTGTTATTTGACACATCAACCTGATATATGGTGATCAATTTGTGATATTCAAACATATAGCTTTATTAACATTACTAATAAAATAACTCATTTTTAAAAATATTAACTTGACTATGGCAACAATCTTCACTAAAACTGAGTATCATGGTAAAGTGATTGCTTTTGTTTCTATCGGTAATAAATTTTATAAAATATTGATTTATTCTAAAAATGATGTTCAACACTGAATATGAACGTTGTTATAAAGTTGATGTGGTGTTACCTTTGTGCATCAATGATCTTGTCTAAAAGTTTTATCTTTGTAACCATTTATAAATTTCATGTATCAAATGTGAAATTAGGATAATTTAAAAATGTTGGAACAATAATACATGTTTTTTAAACAGCAATAGTGTATTACATTATAGTGGGTACTGAACACGCACTAGTGTACTTGTTGTATTTTCTTTAAGTACTGGTGTTCAGTAATTAGGGAGGAAGTGGTATTCTACGTCAAAAAGCAATCACAGTCTTTCAACGAAACTGCTTCTTAACTTCACCCAATTCTTGTGAAGGATGTTTAATGGGAACAATTCGCTGTTAATCTGTACATTATCTGAAAACTACATTGTTATAGATATTTTATGTTCCCGTTTATTGTTTAACCAAGCAGAGAAAGTTTCAACTCATTAAAATAAAGATAGTGCTTGAAGTGGCAAACCATTTGATCTATATAACTTGTTACCTTGAGGGACCATTAATCCAGATAAACGACCATCACAGAGAACTTTGAACTTTTTATGAAAGTAACTGCATGTACTGACAGCTGTAGAACGATTAAAGAATACAATATCTTACCACCCACAGGTATGTAAAAAATAACTTTAATAAGGTTAGATGTAATCTAAAGATTTTGGGCAACGTAACTTATGTATTTTTATGTACTATTATTTTTAGATGTAATGTCTAAAAAGCTGCTAAGTGTTTTACTATATCAAACTTCTTAGAATACACAGAATTCCGACGGTCTTATTGTAAGATCTTTTATTTTTATGCCTGTTTTATTACCTAAAGATGAACAGAAACTAGAATAATTCTTTGCTAATATTAACCTGGTTAACTTCTATTCTCACATTCTGAATATTGTTGCGTCATCGAGATCACATGACTACAGTGACGCCACGTTTCT